TTAATTTGCCATCCCTCCATATAACCAAATTATAACATAACAACCTGTCACAGAGGTCAAGCTTAACAGTATTCTGTAGAATCACAGAATGGTTTGAGTTGGAAGGGACTTTAAAGGTCATCTAGTTCCAACCCCCCTGCAGTGAGTTGGGACTTTAACTAAATCAAGTTCCCCAGAGCCCCATCAACCTGATTTTGAATGTTTCCAGGGATGGGGCATCCACCACCTCTCCGTAGCGTTTCATCTGTGCCAGTGTTTCACCACCTTCATTGTAAAAATTTTCTTCCTTATATCTAATCCAAATAATCCCTGGTTTCTTTTAAATCAAAAGTTTAAAACCATTACCCTTTGTCTTATCACAACGGACCCTGATAAAAAGTTTGTCCCCATTTGCGTGTACTGCTCTTTACCAGCCAGTCTTGATGCCAAAAAGTAGTCTTGGACACATTTGATTTACTACAACAGATATTGCCCACACGTCCTGGGAAGGACAAGAGGCAGAGACAGTGAACAGCTGGGACTCAGACTCAGGATCCTGACTGATCCTCACTCGTCTGAGCAATGGGCCATTTATCCTTTCCCCCGGCCTCGCTCAGTGACACGCCAAATTTGGAGGCTGCTATATTTGTTACCTACCTACAGAGATATAGACTAGAGTTCAATTATCCTTAAATTCTTATCAGGATCCTTCACTCCAGCCAGCGCTGTCATGGAAAATGTAATGCATGTCCTGACTCAAGGTTTTGGTTCATTTGTAATAAAAATCATCTGGCCTCCCTCTGAAGGAAGATGCAATCCATCCCTGCTGGGAGACAGTGGAAAATATAGTTTATGTGGGTGCCAACTGGATCTTCATCAGAAAGAAGCTTTTGTGCTGTATTCACGTGCAGAGCTGAGGATGGGGGGAGGGGTCTGAAAATGGGAAGATTTTCTGTGATGTTGAGCTGTTTGGCTGCTTGCACTGGTTCCAGATGGTGCTGGAGGCACTCAGTGTCTCTGAAAACAGGCCAATTTTCATTCTCCCAGTTCTTTTAGTAACAAGAGAAAAACTGTTCTCTTGAGGAAAGAAAACAGGGAATAACTAGTAATGATATTTCTACTTCCCTTGTTGGCAAATTAGAACCAAAATTAGCTAACATGCTGCAACAGTTCTGGCTTTCCAGCTGGAGAGGGAAGCTGCAGTGAGCTTCTCTGGGTGTCTCACGTAGCACAAAGCATTGCTCCCTGAAACAGCCCTAATCCAAACTCACTCAGATCACCTGGGCCCCTTAACTCTTTTCAGATCTTCAATTATTTTTTCTTCCAATTCCTCATAACAGTGAGGAGAGCAATCTGTTTAAGTAGGGCTGTTTTTGCTAATGTTTTCTAAGGGTTTCTCATCCTTACCCAACAATATTTCTGGCCTCTGGGGCTGTTCCTTCTGTGGGTCAATTTTTGCCCAGTGACCTGGCAACAGATGCTGACAGTGTTTAACACCATGTCCTGCTTTGCAGTCAAGTCCATACTCCTACTACACCTCAGAGCTTATTAATTCAGTCTTTAAGACTCCTTTGCAAGATTTTTTTCAGTTTAAGATAGGATGTTCAGCTGGCATCACACCTCCAACTGGATCACCACAAAGAATCAGAGCAGTGGCACAGTAAGTTACAAGCGTGAGCACAGGTTACAAACATCCATCCTCACCCTCCTCTTCAGATTAAACCAGTTCAGAAAAGGAACAGACATGAGCAGTGCCTTCTATGGGGGCCCTGTGTGAAAACCTGGGGGTCAAAACACACTCTGGACTTTGAGCTTTATTTTTTGCTTCTGTTTAATTGATCAAATCCCTCTCACCATGAATTTCTAAAAATCTGAGTAAAATTTGTATTCAAAAAAGTGTATGAATTAGTTACCAGTATGGATTGATGAGTACTTGCATACACAAAATCTACACCTATTACAATAGCAAAACTACTTGTCACTTTTTTTTTCCTGTTTTGCCTCAGACTTACTAATTTAACACCTTCTTGACTAGGAGCTTTCTTCATTAGTGAGAATTTAACTTTTAATGTCAAAACAGTGATTTGGCAATGAAACAGTACTATGTGATTTCTTCATGCCAACATTTGTGGCAGTTTGACAGGTGTAACCTAGTTATTTTAGTGAGATTTCATCCACAATACTTTTCCTGTAATGTCAAAATGTTCATACAGCCTCAATCTGATCCAGGCATATATAAAGATGAAAGGGCAAAAGATGTGTTTCTGAGAAGTATCCTGCAAGTCAGAGAACACTGGACAACACCACCAGAAGGTAGATATATTAACGTAAAAAGGAGTTGCTGATCTACCTTTTGTTTTTATAAGGTAAAATAATTAAATTTTCAGAGCTGTAGTGAGAAAAAATGTTTTTCTTTTTTCCTCCCTGTCAGCTTTGCTGCAGTGAAAAATTTTTCCATTGCTTTGCTGAAAGTTCTCTTGGCTAACAGCCATGGTTTAATTTATAAAATAACTGATAGGACCAACAGGCATGTTTCTCTCCTTTCAGAGGATTTAAGCAGCAGAGAGTTTAAAAAGCAGATACTCCATTAAAATGAGTTTATATCATATCTATTCAGAGCTCACAAGCCATGGCTTAAAAGCCAAATCCATTTGTTTCTCTAAGACTCCTTTACTTTTGTCACTCTCCATGATGAAAGGGGATGCACACACTGTGCGTCGCAGCAGTGATAAGGAAAGCAGCTTCAGCCCCCTTATCAAAACAAGCACTGAATGAAGGGTGGTCCTGCTGCAGACAGATGTTCCTTTTCAAGCTCATCTAAACTTTGCATACCACGGGTATTGCTTTGTGTTTTCCTGACATTATCTGTTAAAGGATGAAACAACGTTCCCCACAGCCCCTGGGGGAAGCCAGTGCCGCAAGGAGGATGGGTTGGCTGAACCACCTTACAAAATCCCTGCAGCTCTCACACGACAGCACAAACATACAGGGAACTTAAGAAATGTCCCTGCAGCACACACAGGAGACACAGGGCTCCTTCCTCAAGGGATGAACTGGGCTATTGGCTCGCCCATTGCTCAGATCCTGGCCAGCCAAGGACAGCACAGGAGATGTAGCAAAACCCCTGAGCTGGGGTCTGAGGAAACATTGGATGGCCTTTCTTCTCCTGCTCCCCTATGGATCGCAAAGAAACCAATACAAAGACAACATCATAACCCCTTCCTCGCTTACCTGCCCTTTTTTAATTAATATATGTTACTTAATTGCAAGCACTTCCCACTACTGGGTCCAACAATCACCAACTCATAAAGTCCATCACAGATCCTTACTTCACTTTTCTACCACTTCCAATCTCTGAGAAAGATTCCTAGATGTTCTCAGGCTCTCACTTCAGCAAAGTTTATTCAAGGACTATCCACACAAGTTGAGCTTTAGGAGACTGGAGGCGCTTTTCACTCCAGATCCCAACTGTCCATCAGTTCACTCAATAGCTCTACACGGCGACTTGCTGCCAAGCACAACCACCTCTTTTTTTATCTTTTGTTAACAAGTAATTCCACATACTCCTTAAGTGTGAGAGAAACGATTATTTGATTTCGGATGCTCTCAAATTATAAGCAGTCCACAGTTATTTTAAGTGTATGCTGCATTTTTTCTCAATAAAGATTAATATTATTCTTGCCATGGGGCTGTGTAAGAAGGAAACACGTTGCTGTGCAACAGCAATTTTTAAAACTTTCTCCCGACTGATTTATGTATTTATTCATTTTGAACTTTTTGGGCACTCGTAAATGATGTCTTCAGTCTTCTGAGGGAATACTGACATCCAGTGATTTACAACTGGCTAAAAGCAAGTTTGTGGGAGAGAGATTATTTTTCTCTTGCTTATAACTGAGAGGGCTAGATTCAATAAAGGAGTTTGCATAAATTAAGCTGAGCATAAAGATTTAAAATCAATATGTAGAGCAAGGAAAAAAAAAACCAACAACCGAAACAAAACACCAAACAGTGGGTTAAAAACAAAGATTAAACCTGCCTGTGTACTACAGGTACACAGGAGAATTCATGCTCACAGGAAGACAGAGTTACTGAAATGAAGTATTGATTTTCTGCTGAGAGAATTGTAAGTATGAAAGGACAATTAGTTTTTAGACTAAGCTAACGGTCATATTATTGCTCTCTGGATATAGCAAGAAGCTCATCTGTCTGTATCTATCTACAGCATTTGACTCCTGTGCTCAGAGGCAGTGAGTTTTTAATCGAAACTAGATTGTTAAGAATATTAGAGTATGATTAAGTGTCCAGGCTATTCCTTTATAGATTTGAACTTCAAATTGAAGGTGACTTCTTTTGACAAACACACATAACACAGACCTGAAGCAGCACTTCACCTTCCTTCCTGGTCATTCACCTCTGCTCCCTTGCCCAAGCAGCACTCTGTTCAGCTGAGTCCCCTCACAAGGGATTTGGGGTCATTTGTGGCTTGTTCTTCTCAGAGTTCCCATCCTACATCTTAGAACTCCTTTTCACACCAATATGGAAAAAAACCAGGTTTGTCATCCAGCAAGTTTTAAGAGTTTTTCTGATTGAATTTATTTTGTATGTTTTTAAGTCTTGGTGTATCAGTTCAGATAAATCAAGTAGTTTTGTTTAAACAACTGAATTTTCCCCTTAAATTCCTGCCATTTTTTAAAGAAATAGGTTAAAAAATCCAATCCCTAACTAATTATGCAGACTCTCGAGCGGTATCAATTCAAACCTGGTCGATTTTTCACTATGAATTAAAAACAGGTTATTTTTGCTTGTTTGAGAAGAAATATTGATATGACTTCGGGCTTGAACAACACTCTTTGTATCACGAATGTTGTCCTAGGGAATGTCTGACAAACAAATCCATCCTGTGTATGACTGTATCCGATTGCCTCAGGCTGTCGCTGGAGCGATTCCCAACTGCTTAACGAACCCGTCACGCCCACATCCTGCGTGATGAGCAATTGTCAATTATTATCTTCTGTTTTCAGAGCACACCGGTGAGAACTGCTTCCAGGTCTGGGTGGAGGTGAACCTGAGCGGAGCCTGAACGCCGTTAAAGCCCCACTGACTAACAAAAACTTTTAAAATATGACTACAGTGAGGATTTTATCTCCACAATGCTGCTATGCCGGGATGTGACAGGCTTCCTACCCAGGTCTGGAAGGTAGGGATCGGCTTGCATACATGCAATCACATCATTCCCCTTCCTTCCCCTCCCTGTACATATGTCGTTTTGGGAAAGGAGTATAGAAGAAAAAAAAAGTGGTTTTTTTGTATATCCTATGGGTTGAGATGAGCTGGAACATGATTAACCAGCATAGGAACCAGCTCTCTGCAATGTATGTGGTACATTATTACTTGATATTTAAAGTGACAGTGCCAAGATTGTCAGGTCTGGAAAAAAAAAAATAAACCATTTCTTTTAAAGTATGTTGCACAGGGAAGACTGATTGAAAAATTTAGGCACACTGATGAGCACAAGCATTACAGAAAGTCTGTAACAGAGCTGGTACACTAAAAAGGATGACAACATCTGCCTGCTTGTGTACATAAGGTCATAAAAATGAAACATATCCTCTCTTCTGTGGCAATCCTCCTTGAAAAGAGCACTGGAAAGCAAAGGCCAAATGCTCAGGATGGTACCTTCACTGAGGTACCAAAGTTCTTGATCCCCAGGCCATATCCCTGACCCAGGCTGCAGAATCTCCTGACTGCAAGAATGGTCAGACAAACGCAAGCCAGGGGAACCAGGGCATCCAAACTAGGTGATGTCAACCCTTCTGAGGAGACACAACTGCTTCCTGGTCCTGGCCCTCTGCAACCCACAAGGAGCCAAGTCCACAGAGTAATTTTTGGTGCTGAGTTACATGACCACCACAAGCCAGCCCAGCTCCATCCCTGGGTGAGCCTGCCTGTGTCACCCATCTATTCTCAGAAGAGTTAGAGGGGAAGAGATTGCAGTGAAAAACTGGGGGATTTATAGCAGAACATACACTCAGCACTGCTAAACTGCCTGATGGTTTGAACCAGAGATTGTCCTCCTTCATCTTTTGGCTTTGTTTAGACCAAATTACATTTTCAACAAATCTGAGGAAATTTAAAAAAAAATACAATTCTAAAGCTTGGTGCTGTCAAGCTGGAAAAAAGTAATTTTCTACAATTCGGCTATTCATAGAAAGCTTGATCATTCAAGTGTGAAACTTTATAACTGTTTCTGCTGATCTCTTCTTTTTTTCCACACACACAATGCTGTCAACAACAGCCGTGCTAGTAAACAAGAGCAAAACATCCAGTCAACCAGTCTGTAGCTGGAGTGAGAATTAATTTCAGTAGCACTGACGGATTTCACAAGCAAGACTGAGAAAAACTGACTGCAAAACGATTGTGCTCACCTCCACAGCACATCCCCTAGGGCTGAGACAAATGGTAGGATGTGCAGGCAGAGCCTCCTCCAGCATGGACCAACCTGTCAGACACTTCCACGTCCCACTCCAAGCCTGGCCATACCACTGGGTATCAGAGAGATGAGAAGTTGAAGGAAATGAAAATTAAGCAGGACAAGTTATACAGCTGTTACAGAGATGGAAGACCACAAGTACTGGGAGACAGGAGGGAGCAGGACATAGCATGTCCATGGTAATACTTGGAAGCTGGACTTTCTCAAGAGGAACCAGTCTGGGTGAACACATGCAAATAGCTCCTTTTACGTTTGGGGACTGTCTCTTGCTGGTTCCAACGTGTCTGATCTAGAACAGTGATATGTTACAGCCATAATAAATTAACCTGGAGACAACTGCCTTGGAAATAGCCCTTTTCCAGCATCCAGATCTGTTTAGCACCAATAAGTCTCTGCACTGCCAAGCCCACTGGAATGCAATTGCAGTAACCTATGCCATGGAACACCAAATGCCTCCTGGCACCCAACCCACCTGCGACTTGGATGAGCATGGGTGTTATGTGCAGCTCTGACAAGGTGAGGAGTCTTTCCCCTCTGACAGAGCTGGTACACAGACAGATTCAGGTGAGCAGCCAAGCTGTGAGCAAGAAGAGTGAATTTAGAAAGCCAGACACTTCTGCCCAGTCCCAAAATATATGTTCTCCACCAGTAGTGACTTAATGCATAATAGTAGTTCCACACCAAAGCATTATCTGGTTTATGGGGAGAGCAGAAGGAAGGAAGACGTGATTTATACAGCTTCAAGAATATAGCTTTTTGGAAAAAATATTTCTATTCCCACCGAAAATGCCTACTTTTCACCAAAAGGGATCAATATAAACATAAAACCACTAGGTTCAAGCTGCCCTTGTAATGTCCTGTGCAAAATACAACTCAGATGCCTTACACTTTCATTCTGCTCTTTGGGTAAAGGTTTCTGCCTGGCCTATCCTTTCCATAACATGCTTTTCCCTTCCAGCAGGAAAGGGGCTGCATGACAGTTTTCCTGGTAAACATCCTCCAGCCACAGTCCTGGGGCAGAGGGAAGCAGAGGGATGCAGCACTTAAACCAGACTCCTGTGAGATTTTGTGATGTCATTGTGAAGAGAAAAATCTCCAAGGGATGGAACTCCACTTGAAACCTCTGATCATTTTCCAAGTAAATGATTCATCATTTCAAAGAAAGTACATTTGATTGAAAATGCAGTTTTCCCTCAAAGATCGGTACTGATGGAAATTACCAGGTAGTTCTGATATTCTGCAGGAGGTAACTTAGTGTGAAATAACCTCACATGGTACAATAGCCAGAATGTCAGAAGACAAAAATCAAATCCATCCTTGTTGGACCTTCACAAGTCCTTTCCCACAGTAAAGGACTGGGCTGCATTAGTAGTTTTGATAACAATTTTGTGTTCATAAAGTATTCATACTTAATACTCAGCCTTGCTGACGAACCCTTTTTTCATCACATGAAGTTATAAACTGCAATGTAAGATCTCTTGGCTGGTGAAATAGAGCAGTAGCAGAGTCTTCTGGGAATATTAGACCTCTGATCAGCCAGGTGAGCATTACAGGCCTGACCCCACTCCTCAGTGATTTCTTCGTGAGCTCCTAAGGATGTGACTGGTAAATCCATGAGATGATGGGATGTCTGCTTGGTTTCATTCACTTTGTGTTATCAGCTTCTTTCATCTCCCTGCTGCAGGACTGGCTGTCACAGTAATTTCTGTGTTTTCAGGAAATTAAAAAAATCTGACATCCTTGTGCTTAAAATAGACTCGAGAGCCCAGCTGATTTATACTTGCCTTGTGGGATCCAAGAGGTTGTGAGGCTGGAAAACAACTTGAAAAAGAAGTAAATTATGAGACGGGGAAGGAACTGTGAATTTTTGTTCTAAAAGGTCTCCAGTTCACCCTGAGGAAGATTTGCAGGGCACGGGAGTTCAGGAATCACTGGGACACCCACTGGCAGCTGGCACAGCATGATGCTGCAGGAACACAATGCTCCAGCCAGATGTGAACCACTACTGCAATAGCCCTGCCAGCAGCATCAGCTCACTGGAAACATAACCAGGCAAACTTGGCTGTGCAGATAAAACCTGTACCTGGAATTTCCTCACTGCATAAATGCAGTGATAGAGAGCAGCTGGGCCATTTGATACCCCAGTTTCACCCAATCCTCCCTATGGCTCAATATCTTCTCATTCCCACCTATCGACTCCAAATGAAGCAGGAACTAGTTTTCAGATTGAGTATTGCATTTGATATGAATGACTTTGTTGTTTTGTTTGCTTTAAATAGGCATTCCCTATTCCTGATCTTCATCGTAACCCTCAACACTTCTACCCCCCATCGTGGCCAAAGGTGAATGTCAGAAAAAGTTTCCCCCATCCCTGGGCAGTGACTCAATTCCCTAAGTCAGGTCAGTTCCTCTCCTTCAGCATCATCACACAAAGCAATTTGTGTTACCAGCTGATGAACTATGCAGAAGAAAACTTGCAGAGGCAGAAAGGTCTCAATCACTGCTGAGGCCATTTTGGTTATGGATTCACACAAGGAGGCCAGAAGAGACCTTCAGCTATGCAGACATCTGCATTGGATAAGATAATCCTTGTTCTAATCACACAATCACCTGTACCTCTCTGGGTGATAAAATACCCACTTAAAAATGATATTGCTCCTAAAAAAAAAAAAAATCTTCTACTGCCTGGAGAACCTATGAGTACTGGAAATTAAAAGATTATGGAAAATAAGTACGCATAATTTTCACTTTGCTTTGTGCCAGTAAGAGACAGAGAATGTTTGGACAGAGAGGAAAATTGGGATAGAAACAGTCTGCTGTGCCATTTGTCTGATCTTTCACACTAGTAGAGGAATGGAAATATTTTTATGATTAGGAAATGCTGAGACAAGAACAGTGTCTGTGCCTCTTTTAAGAGATGATATTTCAAGTGGATAGTTTTCATTCATTACTGCTTCTCTTTCTTTTGTTAACATCTCATTCTAGTGTCTAATATTTTAGCAAGAAGTATTTGTGGGCTAAATTAACATGGAGATGAGGTTTCTTCTGCTCACAGCTCTCAGTTACCTGAGCTGTGACATTTCCAGTGGGTTTATTTCCCTGCAACAATATATCACAGAGGTTTTCTGTTTCCAGTTCTACCCCCAAGTTTCCCCATACCCAGGAGCAGCAATCACTTGTGCCTGACAGCATGTTTGTTTTGCAGGTGGTTGATGATGTTAGGAGTAAATATAAACCCAGATGAAGAGCGGCATGAGCAATGGAGGGACCAACCCCAGAGCCTGTGTACGTTGACGTGGACAAGGGACTGACATTAGCATGTTTTGTTTTCCTCTGCCTCTTCCTGATTGTGATGATTATTCGCTGCGCAAAAGTCATCATGGACCCTTACAGTGCCATCCCAACGTCCACATGGGAGGAGCAGCATCTAGATGACTGAAAGGACTTTACCAGACAGAGCCATAAAATGCTGTTGTCCAGGAGGCCTTTTCCCACTGGGAAGGCTCACACACAAACGACCATTTTCAGATATGCAGGACAACAGCAATATCTCTAAGAGCACACAGTGTAAATGATTTTTGCTCAACAGGTCAAGATATCAGCAAGCCATTCTGGCAGCACAGTTTACTACTATGCAGCAACCCTTATTTTACAGTTATCATTGTAACTCAAGTAGCACAAGATTCTCCAGACTTTTACTAATGTAACTGTTGGTTTAGCACAGTTTGTCCCACCCTCAGTATCACCCACAAATCCTGGGTAACCATCAATACCATGAACAAGCAACAAGAATATCCTGTCTTTCCTGGAAATAGATTGCTTCAAATATTTCCCTCAGTCACTATAGTAGCATTTCAGAAAAGGCCCAGAATTTACTGTTTTGTGTGCCAGAGCATCTCTAAGCAGAAGTGCTGAAGGACCCCTGGTTAAGTAGGGTTAAATGAGTAGACTTACTCTTGACTCACTTGGTTCTGCACAGACTCCCTACCCCACTGCAGCCGTATTTCCAGTGATCAGGATGCAGAAGCACTCAGAATAAGGGGGTACTGGACTAATGTTGACCCCGTAGCACCACCTTGCTCTATCCTACTCATACAAAAACTAGGCATATCCTCTGCCATGGGTCCATGGATTAGTCAAACTAATGAGCTCGGTAGCCATGAGAAGTCCACGGAGCAGAGCTTGGACACTGCTGGTGTCAACCCCATAGAACTTGCTGTGATTTTCAAAGAGTGATTCCATGTGCAACTTCATCCATCTTTTGTTTCAGGTGTATTTCAGTGGGATGAGACAGGACTAGAATGACCAGGACAATAAGCAGAGACATTGTTCCTGGCTTTGTCATTCAGACTCCTCAGCCTAACATTTGCAGTAACACACAATAATACGCATTCTACCTCTGAGAGATTCAGCACCTTCAATGGAAGATTTTTCCCACAAATTTGTAAGGTACATTTCCTTCTCTTCTTTCATTAAGACAGCCATTATGCAAGAAGTCATAAGTGAACATAGGAGCTCTGGAAATTTATTATTTACCTTTGAGGAGTGGGGACTGCAAGATTCTCATGTCCTCTGTTCCTCAAATTCTAAAGTTTCCTCACAGCTGCCTTTTTTTAGTGACTACATGTTCAGCTCATGGGAGTGAAAGGATGCAATACAGGGCAGGTACTGCAACCACTGCAAGCATCATGAACACACAAGACTTGAAAGCACAAAACTGCAAGAAGGGCATTTCACTATTTCTCCTCTTCCTTACCATCCTACCTGACCTCTAGTTCTTGCCATAAGAGGAAGGAAGGAATTGTGGCAAGGAACTGGGACATAGACTTTGTAAGTTACTGCTCTAGCTCTAACAGATTTGTTTGATGATCACACAAGTCACTTTGTGTGCCTCAGTGCACAATATTATCTTGTCTCCCATCGTTTTGTCTATCTCAGTACCAGAAAGTACTTGGAGAGCCTTAGACAGAGACATGCGAATTAAGGTTCTTATTTACAATTCTTCCTGATGAAACTAATAGGGAAGGTCTGGATCGTAGCATGGGAAGTTCTCCCCAGGCAAAGGATTTGTCCAGACACCCATTTACTCTCTTATTTTGATTGCAGGATTTTGAACCATGCCAAATGGCACCTGGCTTTGCTACGTATCCCACTGATTTCTGAGGATGTGAGGTGCTCAGCACTGTGATTACAGAGACCCCAAAATAGCAGGCTATAAGGCACATAAAGAGTTTTGCATAGATCTTTTGAACTGCACAATTTTTGCTGATCTCTGTTGTAGGAGATCCCATTCAGGAGGCAGAAGATTTGCAGATTGGCTTTAATTCTGATGTCCTCTAGCAAGAGTCCTCCACTGCTTCCATTACCCACTGCAGACTGCTCATCAGGCTGTTATTTAGCCTCAGTTTCTGCTAGCAGAGGACTTTTCCAGGTGTGAATGTTAATGTTCGTCATACTTGCAGCAAACACACTGTTCTCTCTTATTCGTGAGCGGGTCCATGTGTACCATAGGAATGGATGCCCCACATCAAAGAGCAACACTTCTGTTCCCAGAAGCTAAGAAGCCATTTTTTGTCATTAAGTCTTGTATCCCACTCTGATACTAGTGGGGCTACTTACAAAAAAACCAAATCAACCTAATTTCCAACCTAGGAAACTTTCAGTTTGCAGGTCACCTGCCTGCACACACAGCTGACCCAGAGCAAGGACAGAGCTTGTCCTCACACCTCCCAGTGCCAATACTCCACTCAGTGTTTATCTGCATGCAGAACCCTTTGGCACTGTCACATGTCACTGATAAGCTCCTGTTCAGCTAAGGACTTACGCAGGTGCTTAAGTTTAAGCCCCTGAGCAGGCTGTTCAACTACAGAGGGCAGGGTCAGTCATGTGCCTGTCCTTGGCAGGGCAGGGACAGCAATACACAGTCCTTGCATGAGCAAAGTCTGTGTAAGAACAAAGGGTTACAAATGCTGGGGAAGCAAATTGACAAATTTTATCCGCAAGAATGTTTGCCACTTTTTTCTCTCTTTGTCCAGCTGAGCAAACCATTTTATGGATTTTTCTGAAAATCCTAATGGAAAGACCCCTCTGTGTAGCCCTATTTTCTAATAAAAATGCTCTTGTCCTCCTGGCATAGCCTGTCAAGTCCATCCTTCAGTTGACAAAAAAGTTCTTCAACAACCCCTACACATATCACAGTGTAAAAGTCAATGTGATTGTTTTTATAGAGATAATGTAAATGCATTCTAACTTCTGCCTTTCCCCACTGGTTCCAGTCACACAACCTCACTACTCTTTAACCAAAAGCAATACTAAACATCATGCCTAAAGCAGACGTATTATCCTCCCTGCCCTGGGAGTCAGGACCCTCCCACCCAAGGTGCATCACTGCAGCTCCAGCCGGTGCCGACCCCACCGGCAAATCCGCACTCACAGCCAGTGGAAGGTCTGTTTTAGCAGGGGCTGCATCACTGGGCTTGGTAGTAATTTCAGCTGCATGCAACAAGTGCCTCTGCTAGTTTTAGTTCTTTTTTACTCATTGTGCCATACTACCAGCAATTGCACTCAGAGGAAATAACTCAAACTTGTTGCAAATGTATTTATCTAACGTAATAAACAGCTTCAACATGGAAAACCTCCTTGCTGTCTCTCTTGTGGTTCTCTTCTAGTTGCCAGGACATCATAAAACACATTCACAACACAACATGATTTTCAAGAAGGACGTACATTCCTGACAGCCCTCCTTGTAGTGTGAGAGTGAAGAACTGTTCTCTGTGTAGCTACACCACTGCAGACTCTCAGGAGCTCAGGACAGACCTGATGGATCTCCAGGTGTTCCTGTGGCTCTGCAGGTCAACCCCTCCAAAGAGGCTATTTCAGGTTACTCCCTCAGTCAGGAAGAGCACTGAGCTGAGCTTCAGCTCAGTGGGGGACTGCAGCATCTGTATTTCAGCAATTCATTATCAGTAACAAATTGCATACCAAAAGAAACGGGGCCAGTGAAACCCGAATCCCTCCTGCTAGCAACCGAAAATGAAGAGCACGGAGCATCTGTGGGGTCTCTTTGAAGAAGCCACAGAGTGCAAGATATGCAGGGTAAAAAGCACCCAGGGAACTCCTCCTCTTGAAAAAGTTGAAAAAATTGCTAATTCTTTCATCTTGCAAAAAGACTCTGTTGCCTGAAAGCTGGGTGCTTTATAGATCTGCTTGTCCCTGAAGCGAGTCCTGTGGCAGAAGGATCTTTGTGCCTGGAACCCAGTTTGCCACAAAGACTAAATTCCACTGATAAATCCTTAGCTGTGTCCTAGTCAGAAGCAGGAGCTGGAGTCGTTATGCTGTTTTCAGAGCAGCTACTATGGCTAATATACGAACAGACCTGAACTGAGACCAGCAGCAGTTGAATTTGTGCAGACACCCTACAGAACTATGAGCATAGATCTTTTTCTGAAATAAGCAGGGGCTGATGCTAGACGTAGAACCACATGAGTGATGCTGCTGCAGCCTGTGCTGTCCAAAGGTGTCCCCAGCTCGCTGGGTCATTACAGGTCTCAGCAGGCAGCTTCAACCCACACTGCTACAGCTCAGAAGTCAGTACAGGACTCAGATGGGGAAAACTGTGCTCAGACTCCAGCAACCTCCATGGCACACACACAGGGAGGGTGGCAAGAACAGCAGATCTCAGGTGTTTAACTGGTTCACTTTAGAATCTGTTGATCCAGAAAATAGGAAATGTATGAGAAATGAAGGCAAGAAGTTTTCAAGACAGCCCCAAATTAAACTTTCATGGAGCAAGACTGATTTTGGTCCCCTGGGCTACCTGCAGCTCACATGCAGTCCAGCACTAACGCCCAGTGATAACTGAGCCTAAAAGGCCTTGAGATTCCCCACCCAAAGAGACCCAAGGACAGCAGTGACACCATGTGGACTGGCCATTGCTGCTGGGGTACACCAGCATCCCAAAGGAGCAGCCAGACCTGCAGTTTTGCATCTCTGAGTTCAACATGGCAACGCATGGAGTGATAGCCATGCACAGCTCCCCAGTTCACACCCAGCTCAGCCCTGGTCTGTGCTGATCTGCACAACCATCAGCACAGCAGCACCATTGCAATGACTTTATTGAGATGCCCTCGGTGCCAAAATTCTGCTAAAAGCAGGATGGAAAGTTTAAATTCATCTTCTCTGCTTCCTTACCCTCCCCCTGTCTCTGACCTTGTCTGAATCTGAACCCAGGCTTCAAACCACTTATTTCAGCTGTCTCATGGTTATACATCTCAGGTGATTTGATTTAAATACCAGAAATTAAATTCCCAATTTTAACCATGTTTTAATGCTGCAATGGGAATTCTTGATTACAGACCACATTTTTGCATTTGCATTTTTAATTATTTTAGAACTGTTTTCATTAAAAATGGTCAATACCCTTTGGCCACTACTTGCTAAGTAGGAGGAAAACTCTGCTTGCACACACATTTTTAAAGCAATACAGTTTAAAATTCCTGGTTATTTATTCTCAGGGTTCAAGTCAATCCACAACGTCGTAGAGAAATTTTGAGTGATACACTTCTTAGTTACAAAGCTCCATGTTTTGTACTGGAACTCGGCCAGGCAGCCCCCAGAGGAAAATCAGAAATCAATCAAAAACGTATTAAAATTGCATTAAATGTTCTGAAACCATAAGGAAAGCAAAGTTTTTTCAAAACTTATTTTATATTTAAGATTAATTGGATTTCTCAAGAAGCAGCAGCCGTCTCGCCTCTGCAGATCAAAGGAAGTGCCTGGTAGGGGTGAGCAGGCAGCAGATCTGGGCACCCTGCCAGTCCCCAGAGTCCCCCAGGAACAGGGTCCCAGGACTCCACAGCTCCAGTGCTCTTTTAGGGCAGTGGAGGTGCCGGCAGCAGGTCCTGAGCCCTCAAGCACATCTGCCCTGGATCGAGTGCGCAGTGAGGAGGGGGACAAGAGACCCTCCCTGTCCTTGCAGCCCCCAACCAATCCCTCTGTATTCATTGCCAAAGGTGTCAATCCTACAGGCTGAGCCAATGGATGCTCAGCTGCCACCAGGGTCCTCTGCTCCTGCAGCATTTCCCTTGGACATTCATTAACTGTGTTAAACCAGCTCTGTTTCAGCTGCCTATGGAGCAAATAACATGGAGCAAACAGTGTGAAAATTAGAAAGCACAGGTCTGTAATTAAAACTTCGTGGAAAACCAAATACCTGTGCAAGAGAGAAAGAGTTGAGGTGAAGAAGTTCTTGGGAATGAGAGAAGATGAGAAGGAACAGCTCACAGTAGATTTGTATGGAGCAGCATGGTGTCAGTACTTCAGCATGTCCCTCACGTATTTCCAAAGCCTTCAATCAATTTTAAAATCTCAGAAATGATCTCTTTCTTTCTCACTAAGCAGCAACAGTGTGGGCATTCTGAACAGAAGCAGCAAATCAAGTCTGAGAAATGGCCTCCTGCCTTACTGCTCAAAGCCAAGAGCCACAAGAATATCACCTACTGTCTCTGTCCCTCTTCACAAAGTCACTACCTTGATGCTGAACAGCTACTGAAAGAGTGTTTTACTTTGCATTATTACTGCCTGGTTAATGAAAGAATTATGAATATTGCTGACCCAAACATTTTCAACAAAACTAATTTTTTTTCCATGATATTGCATCTATTTCTCATTAGAAACTCTGCATAAAACAACATTAGGTGAAGAACGCCCACATTTCACACCCAAAAGCCATTGGTCCCCTTAAATTCTGAAATACATTTTAGGGTTTTATTCCATGCTTTTCTTCTGACACTTAATTATACCAACAGCACTATTATAAATTATACCCAGCTTTTCCATTACACACCGACCAGACGATGCTTTGATCTGTAAGAAAATGCATCTCAAAGTACCAAACAGTGGCTGCCCTTAGTTTTCTCACCAGCAAAATAACAAAATAGGGTGAAATATTGCCAGGTAGCATGATTCATTGCCCTTACAACCCCCCTGTGACAAGGCAGTTCAACCCAGAAGCACCTCCCGCATCCCTCCAAGACCTTTCATCCAACATCCCAGCATTACTTACGCCCAGGACTGTGCACTCCGGCACAAGTTGCTGATGAGAACTGCTGACCTCTGTTGAGCATGAAACACCAGCCAGCAAGAAGGATGCTCCAGGCCAGCATAAGAGCTGTAGTTTCCATTTAGACACATATTTCCATTTCCTCTGGTCAGAAACGCAGGGTCTGTCTTCCCACACAACATTGCATGACCCTGAGTTAAGCTTCTCAGGTGGCTGACACAGCAGAAAGGTTTTATTTTTCCTCCAGGCTTCTGAAGATCCAAGGAGGATTTTCTTCTCCTGCGCCCAGGTCACAAACCCACAAACCTGGGGGCAAGGCAGAGGAAAAGGAGCTCTGCGTTTGCTTTTCATTTTTTCTTTTTCATTTTTGCTGGAAGCCAAATTATAAGCAAACTAAGAAAAACAGATCTAAATCAAATGAAAATTAATAAACTCTAGAAGCAGAGAGCCATGCTCAAACCTAACAGCAGCAGAAGCTTTTCGAAGTAGAGGTGAAGCTCTTCATAGAGAGGATCAACCCAGCTGAAACTGGCACTTCAAAATTAAACTCTTCTAAGCACCCAGTCAGCACACTGAACTGAGAGCTCAGGCCAAAGCACCCTCTCACTCCAAGAGCCTAACCTTTTACCTCTGCCTTGTAAAGACCCTCCCCTCAAATCACAAGAGAGCTCCATGACTCTCAATTTAAAGGACAAGGGTGCAAAGTGGTTCCACCTGCTCCAGGGGAGGTGAAGCAAGTGGGAGGTGCCCAGAACACCTGTGTGTTTCCCAAAACTTGGGTGAGGATCTGCTTCCATCCCAGGCAGTGGGTGCTGCTGTGGCTATAATGCTGCTGGTCCTAGGCCAAAGCAATGCTATTTTAAGGCCAGCACTGCCCATTGCAGCACAAATATACCCTTCATTGACCCCTTGACACAGTGTACCTCAGCAGGGATGAGAATCAGCAGTGCTGGTGCCTCCGGGTTTGCTGCATTGGGTGAGGGCAGCATGGCTATGGGCTCCCCATCTCCTCAATGCCCACTGAAACAAAGCCCACTGCCTTCTCCAGGGGGTGAAAAGAGACTGGCCTTGGGCACACAAATGAATTTCTCTCCTTTTTTAGCATCTCCTGGCATTTTGGCCCCCATCCATGCAGAAGGCAGCAGATGGCTCTGAGCTCTGTCCTGAGCGAGGTTTTGGACGTTGTCCAGCTCACCTCTGAAACCTGCTGTGCCTGAGCTCCTTTCCAGATATTCTGCACTTTCTGGGAACCTGGAACTTCTCCAGATGTCCCCAGGCTAGACAAGCTCAGATCAGTCACCTTGGGGCCACAGGAGGACTTTACCAGCTCCCACCCATACCCAGGACGATGCAGCACTGCTTGGCCAGACACTGCAGGTGGTGACCCCAGGATGCACAGAGTGGCCACAGCAGATGCAAAGCCACCCTCCTCCCTCAGGGCTGGGGCTGTGAGTGGAAGTCTGCCTCTGAGGACTCTGGGATGGGAGCAAGCTTGGGGGGATCTGTGGCTGGGTGCCTCCATCCTGCCAGTGTTTGGTTTGCAGGTGGGCTCTCAGCACCACAGACCTGCCT